CTTTTTTTTTTTTCTTTACAAACTTGGCTTACAACAGCAAAGTAAAAAGACTTATGCGTTCTATGATCCCACCACTTCTACTATTTACCCCTGCCATTACTGCGTTCACTCTTTACTCCGACTCAATACAGCGTTGAGGCGCTCATTTTCATAGCAACGCCATCTCCTGGTTCTATTTAGAATTTCTTACTCACGGTTTAGTCCTCCATTTGAATTGGACTTCTATACTAGTCTCTCTTCTCTGACTGAAGGAGTTTTGTTGCTTGACGTTCTTCATGATCGTTCCTAAGTACCTACTGTGACCCTTTGGACCAGGGTCGAACTGTATACTGCTCTAAATGGCGTCATTGGGCCATCCGAAACGATCTGCCCATTCATGACTTAGCAAGCCATACAGAAATTTAGTTAAATACATTGTACTACCCTTGCACACTCTCTCTACAGTACCGACTTTTCACCTTGCAATTTTCTCATGTTTTACAGCTCCAGGCAGCGCCTGGTGGTGAACGCCTCGATAATAATTAACAGGTTGAGGAAGGAATAACCGTCGTAACTCTTTCTTCGAAAATGGCATAGAAAATGTAGCTGTTCGATGGACTAAATGCGTAGCGAAAGAACGGAACTATGTAAAAAAGTGACACAAAAGAAAACTTTAAAAAATAATGTATAATAATAATTTTTGAGAAAAAGGTTTGTTTATAGCTGTATCGGCCTCGTACAGGTTTATTATTGCAGATGGTTTAAATTTTACGGAATACTTTTAGCAAAGTTGTTAAACAGAAAAAAAACATTGTAACTAACGTATTAATTTTACTCATGTAAGTAATGAAGACACAAAAACACTATGGAATTTCCGCTAGCGTATAAAAAATTATTTTAAACGTTTGGCCGTATTGTAGAACGGCGACTTTTACATACCGGCTGCGACATATTATTTAGTTGTGTATTCCACGTACATAAGAGGCTTATGTCTATAAATTAACTATTAGCTAGAATTAATAACAAGAGCTCCGAGTGCATCATTTCTGCATGGGTCTGTGCCCGTCACAAGTTCGCAACAAAAAGCCATCCACGACATGAAACCAATTACGGCGCATATAATAAAGCTAATTAGTCCTTAATTGCTTGTTAATTAAATGCTGACGTAATTAATACAGTTGATTAAAAGTATAATAAGGCCGACCTGACATACCCGTAATCCTTATTTCAATGTAATACTAGGTAATAATAATTATTCTAACGAAAGTGTACTGTCGTTTTAAGATCATTGATGTACCCACTAAAATTCTCTGATGATTCGCCTAAACTACTTTTATTATTAATTACTAATGGGCACGGCGAATGATACATAGATGTGTAATTAAAGCTAGTTTGATAATCTCACTTCATTACTAATTAATGAAGAATATTAATTCACACAATCTCCGTGGTTTTAATTTCTTGGTGACGTGGTAAAATGTTGCAAGGTTCTTCAACATGTTTAATATGCTTCATCATCATAAAATCGTCAGTCCTAGGACGATTGAACAACCACCTCCTTATCCTGAGCTAGTCTTTGCTAATTTTCGCATTTCCCTAAAACTAGAACAACACACATCCTTAACTATTTGCGAACAGTAATCTAATCTAGCTCTACCTCTACCCCTTTTAACTCCTGTTTCTGTCTCTAATATGTCTCTGAGTAGACCTTCATGCCTGAGAAGGTGTCCCACCAACCTATCTTGCCTATTTCTAATTGACTTCCATAGTCATCTGTTCTCCTATTCTTTCTAATACCTCTTCATTTCTAACCTTCTCTAGTTAGTTATTTCGAAGTTACAAACACTTTAATTTTATTTATACTCATATAGGCATAGATGTACAGACAAATATTCAAAATTTTTCTGAATAAATTTGTTTTTCTCTAATTCCAGATTCAAATGGCGAACCACCAAAATTGAAATGTAACCTTAGGAAACACAAACCTAATCGAAAACCTAGAACCCCTTTTACAACTCAACAGTTGTTAGCGTTAGAAAAGAAATTTAGGGATAAACAGTACCTCAGCATAGCAGAAAGAGCCGAATTCTCTAGTTCGTTGAGGCTTACAGAAACCCAGGTACGTTAACACCATAACTATAGTGCATATCCAAAAATGCGAATACTAAACACAACTATAAACAATTTTATAAGCACGTGCTAGTTTTATAATACAATTATCAAACATGTATACATGTACAACATTCTATTATTGTACAGCATCAGTCTTCAATGTGATGTTATAAATTATCAAACAGGAATTGGAAAATTATATAAAATTATTTTGTTTTTGTTAAAATTAATAATTTATTATGTGATCCTTGTCTGATATGCTTTTTATTTTTAATTTAATTTATGAAACAAAAGAAAAACAAGAAGTACAATTATATTTTCCGTTTTCATTAATTGCAGGTGAAAATCTGGTTTCAAAACCGTCGAGCGAAGGCGAAGAGGTTGCAAGAGGCGGAAATAGAAAAACTCAAGATGGCCTCGCTATCGCGCCACCCGCACCCTCTCTACCCTCATCCCGCTCTGCAGGGTTACTTCCCCGCAGGAGCGCACCCTCTCGCGTCACTGTTAGGGGCGCGTCCCCCTATGGGACCGCTCGGCATATTACCCCAGCACGCGCACCCACCACCCCCGCATCTACCTTCGCCGCAGGGACCGATGAGATCTCCTAGTCCTCACATGTCCTAAAGGACAAAGGTGAAAGAAAGTGTTTCATTTTTTTTTTGTATTTTTTTAGTAGACGACTCCGAGTAACAACCCAAATAAAAGGAATAACATAAATATAAAGTCAGTTAAGAAAAATACAACGTGCAGGGTGTTAATTCGATTAATTTCATGCTTATCAAAAGATGGAATTATTTTTATACTATTTCACAAAAAAAAGATAGATTTCGCCCTTTATTATTATTATTACCTGCGTTACTAGNAAAACGAGAAGTGTAACAGCAGCACTAAAAGATATGTATGTACAATGTACACTTACCCAACGACATAAAAAAAAACAAAGATAACGAAATTATTCTACTTATTGTCCTTAAAGGGTTTTTGGAATTTATTTTATTTTATTTTTGGATTAGACGAATTTGCTAAAATCGAAAAAATGATTTCAAATTAATATTGAATTTTTAGAAATGATTTCAAAACTGAACATTTTCAAAGGAACATTCAGGAAGAGTCTTGCAAAGCCACGAATTCACTGCAAGTGGATGTCGATATTCTGGGCAGAAATTAGGCTAATTAACCCTTCCTGTGAAATAAGAAATGAAGGATACGTTGGGAATCGTGCATCTTTTCCACAATTAGATGAGCTAAAACAGGCGTTGGGATAGAAACGAAACAAATTGGCAATTTTACATTTAGTTGGGGCGTAATTTAAGAAACGGCATAAATTTGAATGGAGGCAGCGGGTTATAAAGTTACGGATGGCAATTTTATTGGTGCGTCGTTAGGGAGCAAGTGCTTCTCTAATTGAGTTCTTTTATTTGTGCGGCTGCAGCCGATTTAGAACACATTACAAGCGAAAGATGTCTTGACAACGAACAAAACATCTGACAATCTTAATTAAGGCTCGGGGGCCGCGCGAATGGCGAGCGCGTTACTGATGGTAAAAAAAGCCGCGGTGTAACGGCGTCGTCGTCGCCACCGTTGCCGCGGCAGCGCGTAAATTTCGCCCGGCCATTAATATTACGGCACTACAACAAACAAAGACAAAAAGGTGATGTTCCACGTTTTGACAGGCACGTAATAAATAAGCCGGTAACCGCCGGATATGTATTTCGAAACAAAAGAAAGACGCGAAAACGACCGCGCTAAGAGGGAAGACTTAATTCTATATTTATCCGTTCGGTACAATATTTCAAACTGAACGCGATCGTCGACTCACGAGTCGACTTAACTCGACCATTCATACATCTTTTCCTTCATGGAATGCTATAATATCTATCTGGATGAACCGTATCGGTTACCCGATTATTAAGAGCAGCTATTATTTCATGCAGATGGGTCAAACCTCAAACAAACTTTAAAAGACACTTATACATATGGAGATGCAGAAACCTTCCAGAGATGGGAACAGTACAATCATTTTCTGGATTTTTATTAAATTTATCAAATGTTATCAGAATAAAGTTATTTTTCATAGGGTAGTAGTGTAATGAAGATTTTGCCAAAAATCATTCTTCCAAAGATCTGGTTACTTGAAATAGTAGATACCTCATCATCATAAGATTATCAGTCCTAGGACTGGTTGGCCACGCATTTCCATTTAGTCATATCCCGAACTAATCTTCGCATTTCCCGAAAACTAGAAGGTATCTCCCTGTATCTAAACTATTTCTCCTAATAATTTATACTCTTGATGGGAGTAGATCAACTTCTTGAGAAATATACTGTGATATAGAAGATAGACTTTTGTTAATATGCTAATTTAATTTCACCAGAGCATAACACTACTTATAGAGACACCTATTCACATAGGTACAGTATGACCTATCTCCATGAGTCCATCTCCTCACAATACATCAGAATTTGGGGATTTATATCATAATAAAGGAAACCGAACAGTACGTATGATTTTAGTGAAACATTTTTAGTTTCAGACTGGTTGGACACGTAGCTCCACTCTTTCCTATCCTGAGCTAAAGTTCGCATTTCCCTAAAACTAGAATAACCCGCATCCTTAACCATTTGCGAACAGTAATCCATCCTAGGTCTACCTCTACCCCTCCTAACTCCTGCTTCTGCCTCTAATATGTCTCTAACTAGACCTTCATGCCTGAGAAGGTATCCTACCAACCTATCTCGCCTATTTTGTATTGACTTCCTTAAAGTCCTCTGTTCTCCTATTCTCTCTAATACCTCTTTATTTCTAACCTTTTCTACCCACGTTATCCTCTACATTCGCCTATAACTGACTGACCTATCTGACTTCCTAGATATCTAAAATCAGCCACTTCTTCTAATTTTTCGTCTCCTATCTTTATAATACAATAAATAAATTTGAACTGAACAGGTTACTATTTCGAAGGTTCCGAAATAAGTTTTTTCTTTATTTACAGGAAAGATTTCTAAAAAAATGTTATCCTATTTTCGTAAGTTGGGATAAAATGGTAAAAGAAACGATAAAATAATACTACTGTCCTGATCGTTATACATCAACCCTTCTCTCTTTCGCATTTCGGCGCAGGTTCGTCTCCTCCAGTCTGCGCACATTTTTCGGCAGGAATGTTAAATAGCTGGGATGTACCGGTGTCCCGTGTGATAGATGGTTATTAATCCCACTAAACGCCGTCAGCAATAAATATCTCGTAATGATCGTTTAGCTGCCCCTTTAACTTCCGACATTGATATGTGTTGTCGAGATATTTGTGGACGCTTTTTGCTCCCGGTGTACGCGAACGAACGGACGGATGGATGTAAACGTGGCGCTGGAGCTGCTAACGTTGTCGCGGGAAATATGAGAACGTTGTGTTATTGCTAGCTTGATGCTAACGCTTTTGTTATATCGTCACTGACTGCTACTTAGCTGTCCGACGAACACGCCGACGTCCATTAAAAAACGTGTCCGACGGAAGGCGACGCTCGGCCGTTCCGACAACCCTGAAAATGATAGGCGATCACGTGTCCCCCAAGTGTGCACATACTACAACATATCCTACGTGTAGCACCTACATGCACCAGCTACTTAGCTCCAACAGCTATTCATTCGTTATTCCCTCAACAGACTGAAGAAAAAATTCCAAGAACGGAATCTAAACTTAGCTGCGATATTTTCAAATGTTTTTCAGTGTACTTAACTATATATCCTAATAAATCATTCCAGTGTAAGAATAATTGTTTAAAAATAGATCAATTAAGAGGAAATAATTCGTCTTCCAAGATAATAGATGATAATTAATGATGTCTTTTTTGAGCCTAATGAAATTCATGATATTCTGTAGATTCTAGAACAAAGTAGGATCATGAAGGAATTAGATTTATGGATTATAACCGTGTCTGATTGAATTGAACTGCATCGACAATTGAAGATGTCCCTTGTAATGGGAACAGTACACTTGATGATCCGTCATGGAAATTTCATCAATAAGACCCGATTAGAATTCGGAAATCCAGTTTCTTCAGACGACAGTTTTGAATGCCTAAATTAACTTCTACAGTAGGTCTCTACTTTAGACTATTACCAATACAATTACTGAAATAACTAACCACATCCGTTGATGTTCTTATGCAAAATGGCCTCTTCCCGGCTGTCCAGGGCTGAGTAGTAGACCAAATGACTTCTCTAGACCTCTGCTTAAGCGCGCAGCGGTATCTCTTATATTACCGAACTGGGCCGCATGAAGCAGTTCTGTGCTATGCTCGGAAATCGGTACCTCTCCCTTTCTAGCATAAAACCGCGAATTAAAACGGGTGCAGTGAGCTGATTCTACTCAGCCATAATTAGTGCTTTATTTCTCGATCGATATTTCAGATTGTAAGTTTACTTCTATAAAGGTTCGCAGTATTCAATAAGGATAAAAAAAAATAGATAAGTAAATAAAATCGCAATCACCAACCGTCACATAATACATTCTGTATCCATTAAGACAAAAAATCCTTGTTGAGTTCATATCAGAATAAAAGGACAGTTTTTGCACCCTCTCTAGTGCATGGAACGTGCGAAGTGAGGGTTCACACAGCAACTTCTTGTGTGCAGGTCCCCACGGGATCGCATGCAAGACTACCATGCATACTGCATACGTATCAGCAAAACATGTTGTTAACTCTTTAAGGATTCTCAACAATTTTACGTGTACACACAGACACGGCAATGGTCGCATCTTCCCGCTAATGATATGGTCTTGTAGGATATCGAGAAAAAAACGAAAATACAATTAAGGACAAATGCTCGCTCTGTTGGATGCAATAAAATGGCCATCTTCTAAAGAGGAGTAATTGCTAAGTGGCCCGAGGTGTACGATTTAGCGGAGATGGTTGCGATTTCTCAAAATCGATAACAACTAATTAATGCGATCGGGTTCGCGATGTTATCCCTGCACGTGTCAACTCGTCTTTCCATTTATAGAGAACACCGAAAAAAAAAGTCAAACCTTTGTGCATGCTCGGTAAATATTTAGCGGCCAATCGGCAGGCGGCGTTGTCCTGCAAAAATTACTTGTATAATTTTCTGACCTAATTACACGAACGTCCCTAATTGACTGCTTATGATCTTGCAATAAAAATTAATTGGAAGAAACCGACACCGGCAGCTCATTACCTTCCAGCCGTCAATTTTTTAATAACTTGCGGAAATAGATCGATAATATCGATCGATCGGTTCTAAATGATTTAGTAACGCATATGTTTGTGTGTAATAATCATAACACGTACTATATATTTACGTAATTATTAATAAGTATATTCGCATAAACAGGTACTGTTCGTTTCAAGAAGTTGGAGACATGCCCCTTCCCTTTATTAGGATGCGCCGTAGCATAATTCCAAATTCAATCATATTTGTCTGCGGATCTCATTTCTCCACCGATCATCGAGCGAGAACTAGACAAAAGTGTACAGTACTATTTGCAAAATTATTTAAACTGCCTCGTTAAAATTTAAGAATATGCTTTATTTAAAAGCATATTTTGCCAAAAATAATAACAAGTGAATTAGCTTAACGCTCTACACACCTATAAAACTTTTACTTTGTTGTCTATTGTTAATTTATATACATTTTTGTTTTAAGAAAATGCTAAACATTTTCGTCTAGTACTGTACAGTTCTAGCCGATCTCCTAAGACCGCCCATCGAGAGCTCTGCTCGTTCAAGCTTGTTCCAACTATTTCTGTCTTGCTCACGCCTAGTGTGTATTCTTTCTATCTTCGCGCAGATTTCTTCAAGGTCACAATTCTAACAAATTGAAATAGACTGTAACAAATTTTG